AACTTATGGGGCTGTCACGTGATGAACGAATGACTCGAAAAACCCGAAGACTCGACACAGGTGAACTACTTGACTAATTCCAGTACAGAACCTATAGGATGTTGCGCATGCGCGACTGAATGAATCACTCCCCGAGACGACTCGTTCCTCCCGAGTCACATTAAAGATTCGTTCAAAATGAACGAATCGTTCAAGAACGACCCAACACTAGTGGAGAACGACAAGCCAGGACAAAACGAGGAGCTGTTTCTTAAACGAGGGACTACATCTTTAGCATGGACACACGTTTTTAAGCACCTGCAGTTTTAAAACAACCGGTTTTAAGCCGTTGAAACACAAACAACAGAGCTATATGCGTGCGCCGTCTCTGTTTCTGTGTGAGCGGAGTGCGCATTTTTTTGCCACTTTATTGGCTTTTAACGATTACATAAACACACTTATATGCGTCAGAATCCCCGTCTTTGCAAGTATCCTCATAAACTATAAGCTTTGAACAGTTAAATACACACACTTTTATGTGTCAAAATGCTCGTCTTTGCAAGTATCCTCATAAACACAGTGATTCAGGTCTTAAGAGAAAGTAAACAGCTGAAAAGGATAACGTGTAACCGTACAGGCTATTGGATTCGGACTTCGGTCTTAAAGGGGATGCTGTCCAATATTTGTCCTGTCTGCCATTCATATTAATCATAGCACATTGCTAGAAAATCTCTCACTGCTCTTGACTAAATCACTTTTGTAACTGACAGACAGTTTAAAAATTAGACAGATTTAAATGATAATTACAAAATATTATCATATGTCCATAAGAGTCCCACTAAATTAATATCAGACATATTTGAAGACCAAGGAGAGGGAGTGGTCGTGGTGAAACATCCAAACATTTGGTATCTCTGAAAAGCCATGAATGTGCTCTGTACAGGACATCCAGACTTACAACTGTGGCATGTATAGTCTTTTGGTGTATAATACATCAAAATATAATGTCCTCATATGAGGTCACAGGGTCTCAGGAGGATAAGAACACTCTTAGAAGGTACAAAAGCTGTCACTGGGGCAGTACCTATTCAAAAGGTACACTTTTGTACCTTTTAGGTACTAATATATACCAAGTTCTGTCATGAAACTCTAGATGGCGCAGGCTATGGGTCCTTAACGTAACTGATGATATTCTTAGTACTAAACGACTTGTCACTAGCTGACTGGTTCACGTTGTATACGCAGCCAATGAGCTTGCTGTTTTACATTTAAATGGCTGATTAGCATTCATTTGAGCATTGCAGCGCGAATAATAAACAAATGATAAAATTATCCACCCCTAACCTATAGTAAAATATTAACAAATTTTGATGCAATAAATGTGTTATAATTTAACAGTGTTCATCCCTCCAAAACAGAGAAAACATCTTTCACAAACATCTACATCTCTGTCTCTTTTAAAGTGTTTAGTATAATGAGTATTTGTAGGGGTTATAATAGCTTAACCTAGGGCTGTGCGATATGACGATATATATCGGATGGACGAAATAAAAAGTATATCGTTTCATATTATGCTTTATCGTTTATTTCATGGTGTCGCAAAATATATTGTTTACTGTAATACTTTTTCATCATTTGGATGACTGCAATCTTACACGCCACCACGGGGCATGAAGCGGAGACAGAACCAGCCAGGTGGAGAATAGTGATGGGTATATATATATATATATATATGTCACATTTTCCTGGTTAAATAAATGTCACATAAAAAAAGAGAACAAATACAATTATATTTTGTATTTTATTAATATTATTATTATTATTTTTTAAATACTAATTATACATTTCATAGTGTTTTTATGCATTTTTATATTTATTCCAAATAATAACTAAAGGCAGTAACAATTTGAACAATATTTTGGAAACCATTTAAAATAAGGTTTCATTAGTTAGCTACTTTAGTTAACAGTAACCAAGAATAAATAATAGCCTACTTCTACAGCATTTATTATTCTTAGTTAATATTAATTTCAACATTTACTAATGCATTATTAAAAACTAGCCTACATTGTTCATGTTAGTTAATAGTCAACTTATTTTCGGGTCATCATGATAAAAGCTATGTAAACACTGCCACGGACACGAAGATATATCTTTCATTTAATCACGCTGAATGCTCACTAAAAACTGACGCAGCCATCACGTTTTCAGACCATTTCAAGTTTTATTTTGACGTGACACAAAGTAGTGGTATCTAAGCTGGTGAGTTGTTTACTTTATAATTAGTCAATAACGCCATCATTTTCTTCATTCAGGCCGAGAGCTCACACAAAAAAAACAAGAGGCGGGATTTATCACACGAACCAATCACATTCAATAATAACCGATCATATCCAATTATAGCGCGATGGAGGCATTGCCTCCTCTCACGTGACTTTCCCCCATTCATTCTCTATTACCCCCACTAAACCCACGGCACAGTAAGGGGTCTCTGTGGTAAGTCTATGGGCCGAAGGGAGGCAAGCCTCCGCTGTAACTTTACCTGCGGGTGTCGCTGTTTGACAGTGTTACTTTATAAAAACGAGTGACTTTTATACTTTTAATGCCATATTTAGTAATATTTGCAATTTATGTTTGTAATATCGATTATTTTCTAATCCAATTTTTTGAGGAGACACTGCCTCCCTTGCCTCCTCAGAGGAAACGACCCTATATATAGAATCTATACATAATACATGTGTTAATTATATCTATCTATAGATAGATAGATAGATAAATATAATTAACACATGAAGACTAATTAATTTACACAATGTATGTAGCGTTTCTTATTTATTGTAGATTTGTGTCCTATTGCTTGCAATTAGTTTCTTATCCTTATTTCATCACTGACTGTTTATTTATCTTCAGTGAGCTTGAGGTTTTTTTTTTGTCTCTTTTTAGACTTGAGTTAGTTTGATAGTGACATTGGTAACGAGGATTATGAAAATTCTATGGTATCAAAGATTTTAATATCGTAAAAACCTTTTTAAAAGAAAAAAAAATAACTATATCGTGATATATATCATTATCGTGATATAAGATTTTGG